TACATAAGATCAGTTCAGGACTTGTTCGGGGACAAATACTGTATACAGCATATATAGTTAAATATCTCTCAGTAGTGACAACATCAGCTTTCTTTTGAGATAAAATTAAACCTACGTCAGACCTCGTCACACAATCAATATTCACTAAAATTTCATTATTATCTATTCAACTGTTTAGTCGTGAAAAAATATTAAGCAGATGACAGACTGTCAGAATTTCAGTTTAATAATATGACTCAAAATCAAATTCTTTATTTGTGAAGTACAGATTACAAAGGTCTTAAGAAATAGATAGAAGTTTCACTGTCTTCTGCAATTACGCGTACAAATATGATTGAAAACAATATATAACATTATATATAACAATATATATTATTGTAGTATTATAAAAATAACTATTCTTCGTCATCCAGAAATTCATCTATGTCTTAACTATACTAATTTTCACTTTGCTATGAATGTATATAGAAGTTGTAAATTTCATAATTCAATAAATCTTTTAATACAAAAGTAAAACATAAAACATCAGGACAAGATTCTAATGAAGGAGGAATAGAAAAATTATACTAAGTGTAAATGATACTGAAACTAAAAGTGATTGTAGAAAATTTTAAATACATTTGAAGAAGAATTCAAAGATTTGATTTTTTATTTGCTTAAACAGACTCCGAACCTGTTTGATCGATTGAAATAATCTTTTACTATTAGTATCCTATACTATCCGTGATGAATATTTTCAAAAACGTTAAGGATTTCTGTAAAATGTTCGATAACGTAACTCAACGTGTACTAAAAATTCCTTATATCCAGTACATCGGAAATTATTGACAACAAAATAAAGTGATGTATTACAGTTTTATAGGGGACATCCGTATTACACACACATAAATTTTAATATACACGTATGTATGTATATTAAAATTTATATTTATAAATTTTAGGAAAAAAATGCGAAGCCAGTGCACGGGCCTCTTGTTTAATATGTTTACATTTCGTACATACAGATTCATACAGACTTGTGCATTAAAATATGAAAATTGTGCTTAAAAATTTCAAACATTTTGAACGCAATATTTCAAAGCATGAGCAATCATAAATAATGAAAAACACGAAGTTGTATTGTAGACTTTTAGATTTTAAGTATAAATTACCGATCGTTCACTGATTTTCCTGGATATCCGAATAAACATCAAAGGAACGTACGAGTTTAGTCAGATGAACATTATTTTCATTTTCATCTAACGATTGATGTACCAAATATTGTTTAAACTTATAAATGAAGGAGTATTTTTCTTATGAGATTTAACGAAAATATATACTTCAAAAACAGCCAGACCTAAGTTGAAATGTACGTACTCGAAGAATTTAAGAGGCAATTTATCTTCTTCAGATTTGCACTTAGATGTAGATTTACGAGTACTGTCCATATATGCGTAATGTAATAAAAGTTTATGAGATAAATTACACATACACTGAGTACGCAATCCATCTTCTTGCTAAGTTCCTCACGTTAAATACAGTATTATGGAGTTAAAAATAAATCTAAATATGTGTTATTTATATACTCCATTAACTCAATTTTGAGTTCTACAGTCGTTATTATCTTAGAAATAACTATTTTTCATCTATTTTTTATAAATACACTAGCGCATCAAAATTTGCATGTTCCTGAATTTGTAAAGAGTAACAAGCTGTTCTAAACAACGACTTTATATGTTCTTTAAACTCTGCTTTCAATGTATATATATTAATATATGATTGAATAACCCATTCATCTTTGATAGGTTGGTTTTTATGAAATGACAATAAGAAATTTTCAGTTTTGTAATATCACCAATTTCAAATCTACACGGTTCATAGTCATTTTGAAAGGAATAAACTCTCATACCTTTATACACATTACATTCATTCATTCATAATTTAAGAGCTGTGCTCTTGTCGGTGGAGCTCCCGCCACCTTCCACGATCTTCTATCAGTCCCTTTAGCTGTTGATACGACACGACACCAACTTTTTCTTTAACTTGCTTGATATAGCTGTGTCTTGGTCTTCCCCTTCCTCTCTTTCCATCTATTTTTCCTTCTATAATGTTGTTAATTAGTTCGTCGTGTCGTATCAAGTGCCCCAACATTTTTCCTCGCCTATTCTCAATAATATCTATATTCTCAATAATACACATTACATAAAGGAAATATTTGCAGTAATTTATTATTCAAGAGTCCTCGAGATATTTCGACGCTTTATTTCTATATTACTCAATTGTAAATAAACGTTTAAAAAGTTTTAAACACTCATATCTATATATTTGCTTATCAGTTATTCACCAGTGCGAGTGATATGTCCAAATCTATTCTAAACCCCTCCAGTTTTACATGAATAAATTATCAAAGAAAAATAGAAACAGAAACCTTGCATCTCCACATATTGCCGCGGTTAATTACCAATTCAAATTCAACTTTAGCAAAATAAAGTTTGGCAGCTGGAAGCTTTTAATACAATCATAACTTATAAACAGTTCACTGAATACACATGAGTAAATATTGATACAGAGTCCCATGCTTCAACCAATTGGAAATTATGGGGAGTTCGTGATGCTCGCTTCTCATTTATTTGCGTTTCAGGTTTATTAATATTATCAAGTCGAGCGAAATTTACTTCGAATTTCGTAATGTAAAATTTTCAAAAAAGTAATTTTTAGTATGGATTAGAGAAGTAGCAGAAAAATAAATATTATGAACGCGATCGAAATTTCGAATTCATAAATGTAAATTTTTCAAAACAGTAATTTTGCAGAATAGAGTGTAGATTAGGCTGTTAAAATAAATATTATGAACTCAACCGAAATTTCGAATTCATAATGTAAATTTTTCAAAAATGTAATAATTTCTGTATTGATTATGCAGAAAAATAAATATTATGAACTCGGTCGAAATTTTGAAATCCTTATTGATTACATTTTTCAACCGAAAAAAATAATTTTACAATTATGATTATGCAGAAAAATAAATATTATGATCGCGACATCATCATACAAATTTGTTATAAAATAAACATTATCGTGTGTATATTTTGAAAATAGCATTATCTTCCTTTTGTATACCTATTTACATTTATTGGACAAAGTTTATCCGAAATTAAACAGAATTAATGTTGATGATACGTTTGATATTTTTATGCAAATAACCTCTGCAATCCGCTTGATACGGGTTCAATGGAGTTTTCACACAAATATTTTAAAGAATTATATTTTATGTATACAATATCGGTAATTATTATATTTGTTGAAAATATACTCTCATAATTGTATTGTTTTCATATGACTTTATTTATTATTACACATTAGCTATGAATACTCCTCTCCCCTCAACATCTAACTTTATATTGTATTAGTTATCCATAAAAACACTTCTAATAATCTACTTCGAAAAAAATTGTAAATTAAATCAACATACTAAGTCATAGAGCACTAGCTGTTATCAGTAACATAGTCTAGTGTTTAAAGAAACGACAGCTTATATCTGTTTTCTTTATATAAACTATATTTATGTGAAATTTCTTCTACCTTTCTGTACTAAAAAGACAAACAGACACAGCTTTACATTTATAATATTCGTATGGTACAAAAGATAAAAAGGAATAAATTGGTAAATGAGTGAATTTCCTTTACTTTGAATGTGATATAGATTAGTATAAATAAAGTATGTAAAGATAAATAACCAATCTTCAAAGAATTTAAGTGTACATAATTGTAATTGGAAAATAATCATCAGGTATTTTTTGTGAAACAAAACCGAATTCAATTAGAGTGAAACGAAACAAAAAGAAAACAGATGGGTTGGTAATAATTTATTTCGTTTAGACACTGGTTAGGAATAATTTCTTAGGTAGCTACTCTGATTTGCTTTGTTCTTATGAATAAATTATTTTTATTACAAAGTTTCTTTTCTGGGAACAAATTAATTGAAAATTTCTGAAGACTATTTACATTTAAACAATGAAACAATTGTAATATCATGATAGTTTTGTTTTCACTGCAAATAGTACATCTCGAAATTAAATATCTCATTTTAATATTCAAAATGACAAACGAACATTTTAAACTTTTACATAAGTACTAACTGAACTTCAAACAATTTTTCACTTCATATATTTTATCTCTTATAACACTAAACCAAATTATATACGATATCAGTCCTTGAGAATAGTCTAAATTTTATTTTTTTACATTACCATTTCTATCAGGAAAAATCTATTGTAATCAATTTATATATTTAGGAAATACTGTACGCATATACCTACAGAGATAGTTACAAAGCTTACGATACCCTTCTAAATTATATATATATGAAATAATTACTTTTAACTGTTAATGTTTTACCATAGAATAGTTTCTCAATTTCTTTTTTTCTTTTCATTTCTTGCGCAAAGAATTTAGATCATCTCAACGATATACTTTTAATTTTTAATTCCTGCTTTACAAATCCAATTTATATTTCCATTAAAATAAAACACTTCTTATTCTGTTAATTTTACTCTAACTTGTACAATATACCTACCAAATAAAAAAAATATATTATTGTCTCTAAAAAACAGACCTCCATAGGTTAGTGTAATCATTTACCATCAGATGGGTCGTATGCTTGTTCGCCATTATAGTGGCATAAAAATTGCAAACTAATAAACAAAACTGATAATAATCTCAAACTGTTGTAATTTTCAAATTGATTGTATTTTAACTTAATTTTTATAAGAACTAAAAACAAATAATAACAAATCGTTAACATAAAATAGAACAGTATTCTAGTGTTCTTAAAACAATCGAAACACTTATAATAAGTAAAAGAAACTACTCGTACAACTCTATTACGTCCTACAAACACTATTCGAAAGTTAACCGAAAAAGGTCAAAACGATGGAACAGAACGGTCGTGTCAATCGAACCGTATCGAAAGGTCCCTCGGCCCTTACGTACAATTTAACCCTTAAAACATTAAAACTTACCGTTAAAACAGCTGAACAGCCACAGTAACGTGGTGCATAGGTGCGTGATAGCCACACGCTCAAGGTCCCGCCGCCGCACCATCTCACCGGGATCATCGAAACAACATCCCACTAAACCAATTTATATACCACCCCTCAGAGGACACTTATTATCAGCGATCTACAGAATTTCACCCTTAGGCTATTATCGAGTGACGTAACAGAAAGTTCCCTCATTTGCGTATTAAGAGACGTCTAATCGCGACGGAGCGTCTCGTACAACTGAACTCCACTGCACGAGGGTAAAGGCTTTTGGGGGTTGCGACGGGAGGGGTATCAACTGTTTTGTGTCCTCACATAGCGATTTCCCTCTAGAGTGGGGACCACGTGCCGTGTTTAGTCAATTTTCGACTGAATGGCCGCTAGGGCTATTTGTATTTTTATTGTTGTCGTTAAACGAAACATCATTAGAAGCTACAGTAGTACCCTGTTGATTGCCTGCTTCTGTTAATATACGTATAATTGAAGTGCCGTAAACCATTTTTAATTTGACTTCGCATTCATCAGAATCCGGTACTTTCTGTATTTTTTTAATAAATAAAATACCTTTCATTGTATGATCCTTAAATGATTTGGAAACATCTAATAATGGTATATTCTAAGATATGGCTACTGAATAAATTATTTCATTTAATTATTTAAAGTCATGTTTACTAAATTCCCCTAAGATTAAGTATTAATTTGTATTCTTATAACAATCTACGATCTCATACAGTCAAGTTCCTTGTCGATTCTTCTCGGGCATTTCGAACTTACGGTAGATTTGACGTTATCATAAGTGTCGATGAAATGTCTATTTTTTTATGGATGATAATGTAATGTTGCACTCGTCGGGTTATACGGTTTACGCTGGCGGGGCATCAGTGGAAGATAATAAGATGAATATAAGGTTATGGTTCACAATGGGCTAACTGACCTAGTTAGTTCATCGTGACAGATTCACCACGAATTTATCATTATGGTTTCTAGGAGGAACAGCGCGGAGATCTACCCGACATGGTAAATTGGTATTAATGAGGTATACATTACTAACAAACCCTTACCCCCATAGTTATATGACTAAAGATATTTTACGACGTGGTGGGCCGAGTCGATGTGCTCCCTCTAATATGGTTGAGTGCAATGATGGCTGGCTCATCCGTCATACTCGTGAACGGGCGCTGCTTGTGGGGACTGGTCTGTTCAAGTTGCGAACACTGATTAGATTTTTTGTTTTTTTTTTTATATAGCATATGCTAGTGGTCCCTCTATTCTCCCAAATTTGAATTTAAATGAAATAGTATTACTGTAAATATGTAAAACATTAAAAAAAAATATGAGCTGAGTTTCTTGTCAGTTCTTCTCATCTCGATATCACTCCGAACTGACGGTAGATTTGACATATCATAAGAGTCTGTAATAGACCTACATGAATAAAGATATTTTGAATTTGAATTTGAATTTAATTTGATGGCTCTTACAATACGACACAGTTTTTTTTTATTTTCATTCACGCACGAATATGGAGGAAAAGGAAAGAAAACATTGCGTCGATTTTATAACGATAACGTCTCTGAATATCGCGAAACTCGTATTAAAGTTGTCGGCAATGGGCTAACTTTTGTCGGTGAGATGCTAGGCCGTCTTGATATCGAGAGTTTCAGCTGAAAGCCTTGTGGTAACCCGAATAGAACTATGAGGGTTTACTGCATGACTTGTAAAGTTTTATCAGTATATAAAAGTGGAGCGATTTTCATCAGTTGCAACTTACTGTTGTTTCGTATTTTACATAGCTATAAATTTCACGTTTTTATGTCTTATCGAATACGATAAATCTATATTAATTACATATTCATATATGATTTTGCCTCGGTGGTCTAGCGGTTTAACACACCGCCCTACTTCCGGTGGTCGCGGGTTCGATTCTTCGCACGACACAAATATTTGTAGTCGTGAGTATGATTATTTGTATCGGTCCGAGTGTTTTCTATATATAGTTATAATATGTATGTATTTACAAAAATATATAGGTATATGTATTTATCAGTTATCTAGTACCCATAACACAAGTTTTAGGTAGCTTAACTTGGGACTAGATGACGCTGTGTGAATTGTCCTGAGATTATTATTATTATATTATTAAATATCCAAATACTATATCTGTCCAACTATCAATCGATTATTGATTTTTTTATATTTTGCTAACTTTTTATATTTTTTTAACTGATTCTTTTTAGTTCATAGATTTTAATATACAAATAAATTTATATAATTCTTAATATACATTTCTTTTTCTCTTCCTATCATCAAACTTACGCATATTTCTTATAAAATATATTTTTATTTAATTAATTATGAAGAGAATCAAATACAAATACTTTAATTTCTCATAAATAATAATTACAGAAATGAGACTTAAAAGTCTATTTATGAAACTGTATAGTTTTCGAGTGTGCATTGTACTTGCCAAATATTTACCGCAACGTACAACATTGTGAACATACTAGCGCAATATTGGCAAGCATTACTACTGAAATACATTTAATTTTCCATACAGTTAACCAATTAAATGCAAGTGCTCTGTAATTTACACCGCTAGCAACAATTGTGATAACATTCCTATTTGAATAACGTATCAAGAACAATTTATTACAAGCTTACATCTTATATCTACATACATATAAAACAAACTAAAAGCTGCTCGAAAACCATTTTAACTATTATATCTCTTTCTTTCTTTAGAATAAATAAATAGGCTTAAGTGAAAAGGAAATAGTTTAATATCTTTTTGAAATTGAAATACTACTTACTTATTTACGTAAGCTACATATGTTCTAAATGCACATTTTAATTTTTACAAACAATTTGGTATTGTATGGGATTTTATACTAATGATTTGAAATGTAAAAAAAATAGATTTTACTGTAATATGTTCTTACTGTATTTAAATTAAATTACAGGATTCATATCATTCTTCATGCGTGACTTTTTAGTCTCTGGAGTCATCCTATAGAATGTATGAGTGGTAACATGGAGTTTCACATGATAACGTGATATTTTATAGATATATGCGCTGTTTATAGATATATATAGGTGGTGCTTAACGCTAACCATCAGGTAGTCATTTAGTTTTTCACCATCCTAATGTATATAATAATATTCATAGGCTTCTATAATTACTTTTGGAATTACTAGAATTATTTTATGCCATTTATATTATATTATATTATAGATCCTTACCCCGTCACTAAATAGAAAAAGATTAATTACCCATTCTAAAATATAAACAATATTAAAATCGATATGTCAGTAAATCAAATTTAATTTCAAATTGAAAATCAACTTAAATTATTTTACATTTTTATCTTAACTTATGTATTACTGGAATGGTTATCTTAATAAAAAATATATAAAACTATATATATATAAATCTGGATATAGTATATGTTTTTACTATGTAGTCATAGTAGACACATAGCAAACACAAAAATCCAATTTCATTACAGGAAAGTTTACGGTCAAATTTAGCAAATATCATCCACTAATCCGGTCCCGAGGAGAAGTTCTGTAAGCAAAAACTTCACAAATTGAGTCCGATCTAGTTTAGCTTCGTTTACATTAGTGGTTCACAGAGTCCACCCGAGATATATGTGACGTCCATGTATTTGTCTAAAATATGGGCGACCCTATTAGGTAATAGGGCAATAAAATGTTTCCGCGTAATGTAACCGCAATAACTTTTGCCGGTGACGCAGCAGTTTAATAGAGTTTTTGATTGCAAAAGAATTGATATGACCCGTGCTTGTGTAACGAGTTATCTTCAACTTTATAATTTGAGAGTTCAATTGCCCTTAGTGATTTATGAGTTAGGTTATTGTAATGGATATAGACAGACACAGGTATTCTGCACACCCCTAGGATGGTGCAAGTCGGGACCTTATGGCGAGCCTCTTTGCGTCGGTATCACTTCTGGGGTAACAGCTCCTGGGGTACAACGATTTTCGGCCTCTTGAGGGCAAGTAGTGTTGAACTATAAATTAAACGAAAGTAGAGTAGGGATATTACAATATAACTTAACTTAGATCTAGTATCTAGTAGTATTTGGGTTTTTCTTTAAAATGCGCTGGATATATTTGAATTGAACGTAATAGAATATGAATCTATCATCTCCAGGATTAAATTTTCTTTGTTATCATTGGAGAGTCAGTCAAAAATATAAATTGACACTTACAATTTTTTTTGGGTACCGTCCAGATTTTAATTTATATTGTTCTGTTGAACTTGCGGTAAAAAAACACAATACAAAGACGTTCTCCAATTTAGTTAATTATTTACATTTATACCTAATTTATTGAAATCTGTATCAATATAATCAAATAAGCGTCGGAGAAATCGCTCGCATTTTAAGTAAGATGTTCACGCCAGCTTTAGATGAAAAACACTCAGCATCCAATTCCACTTGATCCTTCTAACCAAATAAGTTCGTGCGGACACTTTCCAAGACCGAAGCTTGTTACGTAAGAAGTTACACAAAGGGTTTACTACATTATGTATCGAATTAATGTGTGTAGGCCCCCCTACAAAGGTGAGTGTTAGTAATGTGGATTGATGATCTTATTGCTAGCAATGTACCATGTCAGGTTAACCTCCAAGCGGCTCCCCCTGGAAACCATCGTGATAAATTCTTGGTGAATCACTATGAACTAAGTGATCTGGCTAAGATTATCCTCATCTAGTCATGCTCTACTGGTACCCCACCAGCGTAAACCGCAGCATAACACAAGAGGGTGCAAAATTCCATAAACATCCATAAATCTGTGTACAGGACTTATTGGGTTCGAACTACTGGCTTGCAAAACAAATTTTATTTTGAAGCCGTTTCTCGGAAAAGTGACACGATTTATAATTATATATAATTACTTATACTATTATGTCCATCATTGACACACAGACAACACCTAATATATAACACAAACAAATTTGTATGTATCTAGAAGCTTACTTGCTGATAATATTAAATTTTCTTACTGCAACAATAATACAATTTCATTTCTCACGTTCAGAATTTCCAAGCAATATCACTTTAACGTTCACATCACATAGTTACAAATGGCCGGCAGATAGTAATGTGTCCATCCTTTTTATGATACGGTTAAGCTTCCGTGTGATTCAATATATTGTCTTGACCCCAATAGAATGTTTGAACTCAATTATGACAGCTTATATATCT